CACTGCCACCCCAGACCAACAAGAGCCCCATCATCAACTCCCAAAGAACACAGCATCACCGACCTATCACAGGACACTCACAAATGACCAAGCAGCAATGCAGACCAGCTGATCATGCCCCTCTCATCCCAGTTTCATTCCGTACCAGCCTGCACCTCCAACTTCTCAGGGCATGCATAAATGAGTTAAGAGCCGCCTAGATCCTTGCTCAGTTCTTTTAATAAATAGCCACTTTCTTCAATCATGCTGATGTCAGTGACTGGCTTTTTATACGTTTCCCAAGTGGAGCCAAGTTGAGGGTTCCAAAGTTTTGCCTCCAACTACTGGGGGAATTGTTCCGCCATGACGGGATCACAATCCTGAAAGGACTTCCTGGCTGTGACACATCTTTCCCTGGCCCACAATCATTCCTGGAGGCTGTTCCGTAATTGCCTGAGCATGCACCTCGACTGGACCACTGACTAGGCTGTGCTGGCCTAAGGCACTGACTGAGCAAAAGTACTGGGTTAAAATTCAGTTTGAGATCTAGAGAAGTCTTCGGTGAACAGCATGCATGACAATCCAAAGGTAACATTTCCTTGGTTCCTCTCTTCCAGGTTCTGCTATGACTGACACTGGACTTCAGGGGAGTTCTTCCTGCTTGGACCTGGAGAGAACGAATCTTTGACAATCTGGTTCACTGTGATTGGACATCAGTTTCATCCCATTCGGAGCTATAGAGATCACTGCCTTCAGAAACTGCTTTGCAACTTGCCAAACTTGGTTTGAAACTTGGTCCAACAGGTCCAGTGATCACAGCTCTGCTCTCCCAGCCTCCCAAGGTGTTCTTGCTATATGCAGAACATTTAAATCTATGAAAGAAAAAGATGCTGTTTCACAGTCCCACTGCTTGGCCTCAGTGCGCTTTGAGACTGAATGAGGAATGGCAACTTCACACTGTCTGCTCAGTGTCACCCTATTCCAGCCAGAGATGTACAAAATTAAAAGAAAATGAGAGAAAAGAAGTTCCATTTACGCAAGTTTTATTTTTGCTGTCAACCCAGGGCAGTTTATAAAAATTGTGTTAACCAAACGTGAGTTTCTTCACAAAGCTTAAGTAATCGTTAATAGGCAATCTACTTTAAACTAATTTTAAAAATAAAGGACAAAAGAACAAATTTGAAAATGTTCAAAATTAGTAACATGAATTTATGCCCGTGTTTGCTGGTTAGGAAATACTGAACAGGCTAGTTATTTGAAAATCAAAAGGTGCAATTTTGACCTATGAAGAAATAATTCCAATGAAGATACAATATTGTGTTCTGGGTACTAAGTACAATGAACTAGCTTTTAGAATTTTTTTGGATAAGAAAATGATTTAAAATGGTAGCTGTGCTTGTCTCATGCATTTTTTTTTATGTCTGCTAAGTATAAACTGGGTAATGTAAATAACACGGATGTTTCCAAAACTAAACCTAAGGAATCTTAGCATCTAGATTCTATGAAAAAGGATATTTGGGTTTGTTAACCATTGCTCCCATAAATTATCCATATATGACAAATAACTCGACTATTTTAAAGTGACTGAGCCTGAAATTTTATGTTCTGTTATTTAGAAAATGCCTCAACTAGGAGATTTTTAATAGATTATTCCAAAATGTAAGTGAAGGGAATCACCCATTAAATAAAAGTTCCCAAGAGGGAAAATGTAAAGGAGGTTCTGAAGGAAAGAGAGTTTCTGGCTAAACAGAGAGCTTGTAAAGCACTCTGACTTACAGAAGAACGGCCGTTCCACTCTATAGACTAGAAAGGGGAGGTTAAGACAAAATATTTACAGGTTTAAATACATTGGGGAGGGGTGAGGAAGGTTTCAAAGAAGTAAATCTTATAACATTTGTGTATGACAGGCCCAGCGCGATGGCATAGTGGTTAAGGTCCTCGCCTTGCATGGCTGGGATTCCATACAGGCGCTGGTTCTAATCCCGGTGGCCCCACTTCCCATCCAGCTCCCTGCCTGTGGCCTGGGAAAGCAGTCGAGGACAGCCCAGGGCTTTGGGACCCTGCACCCATGTGGGAGACCTGGAGGAAGCTCCTGGCTCTTGGTTTTGGATTGGAGCAGCTCCAGCCTTTGCAGCCACTTTGGGAGTGAATCATCAGACAGAGGATCTTCCTCTCTGTCTCTCCCCCTCTCTGTATATCTGACCTTCCAATAAAAATAAAATAAAATCTATAAAAAAAAACACAAAGATTTGTGTATGACAATATTGACTGCAGTTCTTAATGTATTGCTTGCAGCATTTTCTAAAACTTCAACATTGATAGTAAATGTATCCTGAATTAGAATTGGATTTAGAATCTAATGTTCTTTTAAAGTAGCAATGCTTTTGAAATATATATATATACATGCTGATAAATTATGAAAATATATATCTGCTTAAAAGTAGATCCTTTTAATAAAAAAAAAACTTGCAACAACTTTTAATAGTTTCTATTCAACTGATGACTCTTTGTCAATTTCTAGTCCACTCTAGTAAGCTGTCTCCTCATGCTGACACTGTTAAATTGTACCAAGTTACCAAAGGACTTTGTGTGTTATTTCTTGTATTCAAGGCTTTTATTTCCTTTTTGGTGACTGACCAAGGAAATGCACATTTTGTTTTAGTAAGGTAATTCTTGTGTTCTGTCTTGTATTTATTATGTTTTGGTTGTTTGAAAAGCACTGCGTTTTAAGAGTTACATTCTTATTCTGAAAGATTTGAGTGATCACTTTATAGCTATGAGCAAATCTGACTTAGGACTGCCTAACTCGCCATGACTAAACGGATGGATACTATTTCATGATGTTGAGGAATCTTATATCGACAAGGCGTTTTAAGGCCTCTTGGCGTATTTATAGATTTAACTCTGCTGACTTTTAGATTTCCAGGTGGAGCTCTGGAAATGTCAAAGGTTACATCCTCGTCTCATGAAAGTAATAATAAATTTAGCTATTTGGATTGTATGGAAAATACTGTCAAGATGTGACCTTGCTCAGCCTCAGCCTTGCTATTTCAGAGTATTACTTAGCTTCTCCCCGCCCCTCCCCACACACCCGTTACTTCAAATTGCTTTTGTCTTTTCCAGTAGTAAATGGGAGGCACTGACTTTCTGCCGGTCTTTCACCAAGACAGCAAATTACCACCTTACATTTCCACTAAGGCACATTCCCAGGAATCTCCTTCTCCTTGGGCCATGCCTTTCTCTTGTCACAAAGAACAGTCAGAAATGGAGAAAGATGACATGAGAGCCATAACGGGCCCCTTTCATTCTGGCTACATTCCAACAGCCACTTTCAGATAGAAAGGGCATCAAAGACGCCAGAAGCAGAAATGCAGGGAGAGGGTTCCTTTTTAAGGCTTGCCCTAGGTGTTTATTTCCTTAGGCAAGTAAACGGGACTGTGTGTAAATACACCTGCTGCAAACATTTCACACTGCTGGCTGGTGGGGTGACTCTTTCACACATCAGAGCAGATGGTTTCCTGGGGGTTCTTCCAAAACAATGGACCGCATTTCCTCCTCCCCCAGTTACAAGCGTCCCTCAACACATTGCTAGCAGTGCGTCACCAGTCACTCAAGCTTAGTGAAACATGCCCCTTACCCAAACTGCAAAGCAGGACCCCAGAAACGTGGGTAGGGAATCAGACCCTTAGGTCTGAGAGAGGTGGAGACTTTAAAGCAAAATTGAATTACATCGCAATTCTGAGCTCCAGCCCGGCCAGTTCCTAAGCTCCTCTGAGTTCTGATTAAATATCTGCCATAACAATGTGCGCCAAGCAAGATCTGCTAACTGATTAAAAACACACATAACCTCCTCGTCAGCGCAGAGTATCATCAGAGGGGGAAATCACCCAGGAAATAGGCAACATTTCCCTCCACTTGTCCATGCGCCTCCTCCCCCCAGGACCAAGAGAGGCTGAGTAAGGTCAACCCAACACGGAGCGAAAGAAATGCCAGTCACGCGTGAACAACCCCCACGAGCAAAGGGAGGAACCATCTGCCCATCCCTTCCTGGAAGCTTCGCCAAAGCCCACACCTCTAGAGATGAGGACACCACGTGCCCTTCGGCCTTCGAACACCCCGACCGAGTCTGCCCCGCAACCCCCAGGACCTTATTTCCAAAGTTAGCTGGGAGTCCCCGCTCAGCAGCCTCCGGGAGCCCGGCGGCAGAGGGTCCCGCGGCCGGGAAGCGCTCGCTCACGTGGTGGAGGGACGCGGCGCGCGCGTGGGGCCGGGCCTGGGGCGCAGGGAGGCAAGCACCGCCCCGCGCAAGGAGAGGCGCGCAGAGGCGCCAGCTGTGCGCCCGGGAGGGGGCAGAGCCGGGCGCCGGGGGAGCCCGCCAGGCGAGGAGCAGCTGCGGGGGCCCTCTGCGGTTCCTGGGGCGGGAGGACGCAAGTTTGAATGGGAAAGCTAGCTTGGGAGCAAACTCCTAGTCTAGCTTTCTTTTAAATGGACTAATAGCCCATCTAGAAGGGAGTTCCTCCGAGGTTGCCTTCACGCCAGTGGAGTCTGGAACTCACTCTCGGAATTCCTGGCAAATGGGGGAGTAGCGCGGTGCCCCCAGGTGGCAGCGCCAACGGGTCCCTAGCATTTGGGGGTTGGGGTCCTGCCCGGCGGGTTCTCCGCCGGGAACCCCGCCCTGGAACAAAGAGGAGGTACCGAGAGCCCGCGGAACGCCGGGGTTTCCGAGCCCGGGTAGCCAGCTGTCTTCCTGACTTGTTTCGTTTTTGCTGGCGGAGGGAGGGGAGCAAGTAACTCCTGCACGCTCTACCGCGCCAAGCAGGGGGGCCGGCAGTTGGCACCCCATCCCGCAGCTCGCAACTCCAGAGCGACGCGGGACGCCCCCTTCGGTGGGGAGGGCGAGGCGGAGGGGAGGAAACAGGTGAGCTCCCACGGCCTCACCGCCGTCGGAAAGGCGGCACCCTCCGTGCCACCCACTCCCCCAGCCCCGGGCGCGCCGCTGGCCCGACCCGAGGAGCACTTACCGGCTTTGCACGGGTCCTTGTAATCTATCGTCTCGGTTTGGTCCTCTTCGCTCCCAGCCAGAGTGTAATCGTAATCGAGGCCAGCGCAGACCCACGGCTGCCCGTAGGAAAAAACGATCCCGGAGGACAGCAGCCACAGGAGCATCCTCCTCTGGGGAAGCATTACCAACCCCATCCTCCTCCGCCGCCGCCGCCGCCGGAGAGAAAGGAGGGGATGGGACCCTGAGCCCAGCCGGCCTCCGGGGGTGTGCGGGGTCGGGGCGAGCTGGGGACAGTGCGGGGACCGGGGCTCTTGCTGCCCCCCACCTCCTCGCCACTAGGAACGTCCCTCGGCAGGTCGCTAGTGTTCAGGTGTCCGGAGACATGCGGATGCAGGCTGGACGGGAAGGAGAGGGCAAGCGCTGGCTGTTAGCCTTCCTCGCAGGGGGAAGTTGGCCAGGGGCCCGCGGGTGGGCGGAGGGCAGGTAAAGGAGCCCGTCTCCCGGGAGGCGGGGACGGACGCCTTTGGGCAAACTCGCCGCCCACCCCGGGGGCGTCCTTCTGGAGGTCCCAACTTGCCGCGGCCGCGCCCGGCGCGGGCTCAGCTGCGCCCGGAGCTCCGGCTCCCGCTCCGCTGCCAGGACCCCGCGGCCGAGCGCGAGCCGCCGCCGCTCCGGGAAGATGAATCCGCTCTGCACATCAGCACTTCGGAACTGAAAGGGGAGACCGAGCAAGAGGATGGGAGGCAGGCATCTCTAGCCGCCAGCCCTTGCACGCCTGCAGGAGCCAGCGAAGCAAGGAGACGCGAGTGTGAGGATCTGGGGGTGCACGGTTGGCCTTCTCCCCCTCCCACAAGCACCACCACCACCCCCCAGCCTGTCTTTTTTACCCTCTTCCTAACTTGAGAAAAAAAAAATCTTCGCAGCATCTAACCCAATCACTTGCATCCTGCTTACTTATTCATACAATCAGGGTCAGGATCTGGGCCACAGCCTCCTCTCCGACTTCTTTTGATAGCCCTACACAAACAAACAGACGCGAGCGCGCTCGTTCCATTTAAGCTTTACTAAAGATAAAAATGAATATGTGATGTATGGGCGTCTGCAAACAGCAATTAATAGATGATGTGCGCGTCTGCTGGCAGTGCCAGACCGGGGGTGGCGCGAGGGATCTTGACAACTTGGCTGCAAATCTCGATCCCCTCCCCCTCCTACCCTGCACTCCCCGCCCCCTCCCTGAGCCAACAGTTCGAGCGTTTCTTTGCTTTGCTTTGGGAAACTCAGGGACGGCGAAGTGGGTGAGCCTTCGCGACTTAGGGGAGGACACAGCCTGCTGCCAAAGTGTTTCGACCAACAAAGTTTCTAAGAATTCAGATCCTTAGAGCCGCAGTGGAAAAAAAAAAAAAATCCCAAATCGAGTTGCAGATTGCAGCCGCAGGAAACGTGGAGACCCTGGTGGCGGCTGGCGCTGGGGCTCCCGTGAGCTCAGGAAGGGAAGCGGGAGGGGGTAACGGGGTAGCACATTTTCTATGACAGTTAGGCGCGGAGCGGCTCGGCCTCCTTCAGCCTCCTGTTTTGGCTTCTCCGGAGGAGAGTGTGGAAGAGCTGGCAACAGAAGCAGCGAGGTAAAACCACACATCAGCAGGCAGACTTTAGACAAACACAGGTTGCGAGGAAATTGGGGAAGGAAAAAAAAAAAAAAAAAACAGAGGAAACTTCTGCACCGTCTCCTCTCCCGCCCTGCCCCTGGCGCGAGCAATTCCAAGGTTTCCCCACATCTGCAAGTAGTTTTCAAAATAGGTGAGCGCACTTCTCCAGGAACCTTCCAAAGGCAGGATAACAGTCGCTTCAGCAGGAACTTGTTTAAAAAATTGCCTTCGCATCTTAATTGGACAAGCACTTTCCCTTTTCCAATTAAGCAGGAACACCCAAAAGGCAGTGTGGAGAGGAGCGCGCTCACACAAACGCACACGCACCTTCCTTGAGTAAGGCCAATGACTGATTTGAAGATATGGCCAGAACGCCTGTGGGTTAAAAGTGAAAGGCTAATCTTGAAAACTATCAACTAATTGCAACTTTAAAAGTAAAAGGAGAGGTGAATTAGGGTCAACTGAACTGATTTCGAATTAGAAACCCTGGGGCTTTCTTAGAGACCACTTGAGTCCTGGTCTGTATTCTTAAACTTTTAAATGGCCCCCGCCCCCCACCAAGCACAGCAGACAAACTACTGCTTAAAAAAAAAAAGTTTAGTAAGCAGCTCCAGGCCTTTGGGCTGGGAATCTTTTGCTGAGTCATCCTCAAATTCTTTACCCATCAAAAAAGTTTGCATAATTAATAGTGTGGCTCCAGTGCAAGACTACTGGAAACTGCAGAGACTTTCTGCAAAGCTCAGAGAAATGCAGATCTCCATTAGTATTTAAATACCACCACTACATGATGATCTGAACTCTTGATATGTAGAATCACCCTATATTAATAAGGCAGTCTCATTACTATTTCCTATGTTGCAAATAGAGTACTAGAGTCAGAATGAAAAAAAAAAAATGTGGGGCCCAGTGCAGTAGCCTTGAGCCCCAGCTGCCCGTGTGGGAGACAAAGAGGCTCCAACCCACCCCAAAGTATGATGACCTCGCTGGGGAGTGTACAGACGGATGGAAGACCCTTTCTCTGCCCCGATCTGTCTCAGGAACACCCATGTATACCTGTCTGCCTCTGTCACTTTATCTTTCAAATAGTTAAAGAAATAACCATTATTAATGATAACATCCAGAAGAGACTGCATTCTTTTGGGGCATTACTTTCGCCAAGTGAAATGCAATGGATTATGGGTATGAGAACAGGATCTTGCTGTTTCCAATCTGGTGCAACTCCTAGGTTGAGGTTATTGTCACCTAAGGCAGGTACACGGGAAGGAAGCTCCTGCGGCTCACGGTCCTGGAGGCTGGGAAATGGAAGGATGTGGTGGTGGCATGTGCGAGGTCCTTTGCTGGCCTTTCTGCTGCACTGTACCATGACAGAGGCCGTCACACAACGTGTCCGAGCTGCCAGCCAGCTGCACTGTCTCCCCCTTCCCAGGAAGCCACCTGGAAATTGAGGAAATTCTACCTGGAAGGCCTTACCTAATCCTGTTACATTTCACCAGGTCTGTCTCCAAATTCACACTTGACATTTGGCAGACATATTAGAATCAGAGCAGTAATCTTTCATCGAATTATAGGGCTTGTTGATTAGTATCTGTAATGTGCGTTACAGTTCCTAGGACCTGGTAAACCTCAGATAATTTTTGCTCTTCATTTTCAGTGAGCTCTGGAAAAGTAAATACCTAATTAGACGCTTTGCTTTCACTTGACGTAAGGCAAGCTATCATAGAGTACTCTCTGGAGGAGCGACGGCCCACGGAGTGGGACCACACGTTGGCAGCAGAACACCAGTTTAACGTCTGACTTTGCCATTGCGTACTGCTGTGCATGAGCAAGTGTATTCTCTCGTTTCACGTTCCTGCTTTTGGAAACCACAATGAAATACCTAATAGGGTTGAACTCTGAGAGCTAGGTAAGATTATACATGTAATGTGATTCCTGGCAAGTGTTGGCACACAAACTTTTGGCTATTGCTACTAATTGCCATTATCCCAGCGGTATGCAACAACATGGGGGGCACAGTGAGCTGTTACACTCTAAAGCAAGAAATTGCAGATAGTCGCACATGAACATGTCTGGATACAGATTTTTAAAAAGCAGGAAAGTTTCATCTGAAAAATTACATTCATTTAAAATCCATCAAATAGAAATAAAGGAGTAGGGCCTAGTGCAGTAGCCTAGTGGCTAAAGTCCTCACCTTGCATGCACTGGGATCCCATATGGTCGCCGGTTCTAATTCCAGCAGCTCCACTTCCCATCCAGCTCCCTGCCTGTGGCCTGGGAAAGCAGTCAAGGATGGCCCAAAGCTTTGGGACCCTGGACCCACGTGGGAGACCTGAAGAGACTCTGGGCTCCTGGCTTTGAACTGGCTCAGCTCCAGCTGTTGCAACCACTTGGGGAGTGAATCAGCAGTTGGAAGATATTCCTTTTTGTCTCTCCTACTCTCTTATATCTGATTTCTAATACTAATTTAAAAATAATAAATCTTTTAAAAAAGAAAGAAATGAAGACATAGTGACATTGCTGGCGGTGCCTGCCATGTCTCCGCAGCTGACATCCCCAAGTCTCCCAGCTGGCTAGTTTCTGTCCCGTTAATTTAGCTAAGGCAGTGCTAGTTTTATATTTTCATATCATGCACAAGCCCCCCAATGTTTCCCTGCATGACTTCCCTATGAGAGGAAATTTATACTTCATTCTTCTTTCTTTATAGATATTAAATCATTGACACTGAAGGTGTCAATAAAATAAATGACATCATTCCAATGCAATCACAATAACCTAACTTTAAACCATGTAACAGTCATGAGCAGTAAGTTTATTGTGAGGAAGGAGTGTGCACTCGCTCAGACTTTGTGGGACCAGTGACTCCAGTCAACCACTTGTTGGTTTTCTTTATGATCTTATTCAATATTTAAAATTCAGAATAAGGGTTGGGATGCATGAGTCATTCAGGAACATACTGTCGTTTCCTAACTCTTCACCCTCCATCGGGCTCCTTTAGCTGGCCCCTGTTAGAGGTTGAAGTCTTGCTAAACTACAAACACTGGGCAGTAAAGAAGAGCCTGTGACGATGTTAGCCTCTAGTTTCAGCTTAATCCCATTGTCCAGTTTCAGTGCGCTGTGTTTCCAATTAGAGTCCACACAGAAGTTCCTCTACTCTGCTTGACGTTCAAGTCTTTGCCTCATAGAAACAGAAGCCACACCTGGCCATGCATGAATCCCACAAGACTTGGCACGTGCTAGGTGAAGCTCGTTTTTTACTGACAAATATAAAATTCAATCTGTATCCATTTTCTAAATAACATTCTAATAGTTCACGAATGGAAATACTTAACACTAGAATATATTAAAATTAATTTTAAATCCTATATATTTATTATAAAAACTGGGCTTGGGAGTCCAAAATATTCTTTTACATTTTTGTTGTGTATGTCTGCTATCTCTGAAGATTCCTTCTTAGTTGGTTTTTCTCACTTTGCTGTAGCAATGACGACCTGGATCTACTATTGCTAATGTGCCTCCTGGGT